CACAGGCCAGCGCCTAGCATCGTACCTCTCCGCCCCATGTGACGATTCGTTACACTCTCCTACCCCAGAGTTCCATGCGGCCGGCAGCCAGCTAGCATAGTACCTCTGCCACCAGGCCAGAGCGCCATGTGGACGATTCGTTACACTCTCCCTACCCAGAGTTCCATGCGGGCCCGGCAGCCAGCTAGCATAGTACCCTCTGCCACAGGCAAGCGCCATGTGACGATTCGTTACACTCTCCTACCAGAGCTCCATGCGGCCGGCAGCCAGCTAGCATAGTACCTCTGCCACAGGCCAGCGCCATGTGACGATTCGTTACACTCTCCTACCCAGAGCTCCATGCGGCCGGCAGCCAGCTAGCATAGTACCTCTGCCACAGGCCAGCGCCATGTGACGATTCGTTACACTCTCCTACCCAGAGTTCCATGCGGCCGGCAGCCAGCTAGCATAGTACCTCTGCCACAGGCCAGCGCCATGTGACGATTCGTTACACTCTCCTACCCAGAGCTCCATGCGGCCGGCAGCCAGCTAGCATAGTACCTCTGCCACAGGCCAGCGCCATGTGACGATTCGTTACACTCTCCTACCCAGAGCTCCATGCGGCCGGCAGCCAGCTAGCATAGTACCTCTGCCACAGGCCAGCGCCATGTGACGATTCGTTACACTCTCCTACCCAGAGTTCCATGCGGCCGGCAGCCAGCTAGCATAGTACCTCTGCCACAGGGCCAGCGCCATGTGACGATTCGTTACACTCTCCTACCCAGAGCTCCATGCGGCCGGCAGCCAGCTAGCATAGTACCTCTGCCACAGGCCAGCGCCATGTGACGATTCGTTACACTCTCCTACCCAGAGCTCCATGCGGCCGGCAGCCAGCTAGCATAGTACCTCTGCCACAGGCCAGCGCCATGTGACGATTCGTTACACTCTCCTACCCAGAGTTCCATGCGGCCGGCAGCCAGCTAGCATAGTACCTCTGCCACAGGCCAGCGCCATGTGACGATTCGTTACACTCTCCTACCCAGAGTTCCATGCGGCCGGCAGCCAGCTAGCATAGTACCTCTGCCACAGGCCAGCGCCATGTGACGATTCGTTACACTCTTCTACCCAGAGTTCCATGCGGCCGGCAGCCAGCTAGCATAGTACCTCTGCCACAGGCCAGCGCCATGTGACGACTCGTTACACTCTCCTACCCAGAGTTCAATGCGGCCGGCAGCCAGCTAGCATAGTACCTCTGCCACAGGCCAGCGCCATGTGACGATTCGTTACACTCTTCTACCCAGAGTTCCATGCGGCCGGCAGCCAGCTAGCATAGTACCTCTGCCACAGGCCAGCGCCATGTGACGACTCGTTACACTCTCCTACCCAGAGCTCCATGCGGCCGGCAGCCAGCCAGCATAGTACCTCTGCCACAGGCCAGCGCCATGTGACGATTCGTCACATCTTTCACAGTCCATTCAAGATATTGCATATGATTTTCATCCGTTTCATGTTTGACAAGTCTACACATTTTCATAAACAAATGTCAAAGAATGGTTAACTTTCATTGAGAAAGTATGCAAATACGTAAAAATCTACTTGTTTTTGCGTAGTTATCCTATGTTTACATTGGTTGTACGGCTCCACGTGCTGTCATCGAAGCGCAACGGAGAGCTAGCGACACGGTCACTTTGATGCATAAATATATATTGTCATGCAACTCACTGTCGCAGTTGTAGTAGCATATCTATATAGTTATGCAAAACAATATGTAAAGCGCCCCAAAATACTTACATTAGTCCGTTCTATACTGATTTCTGAAAAAGCGCGTTTGTTTACAAACAAGAGAAAAGTCCGGTCACGTGATATGCAAATTAGCCTGTGGCAGTGGTGTTATGCTGAGTCACCACTGCGACGGAGTGTGGACTCGTTACTAAGATCAAACGTTAAAGTACACACATGGACTATCTGTTCTGACTTTTGCTACTTTCCCAGATAACCATTTATTTCATTTATAGACAAACGTTGGTGGAAGACAATACGTTAAACTGTATACATTATTAACGGTACATTATTTACGGTGACATTGATGAATGAATGAAAGTTTTTTTCTGGGCGGCCAATCGGTCAAAAATACACCAGTTGGTTAAAGGACAAATATCATATGTTACGAATAAAGTATTAAATGTTTCTAATAAAGATCGTGATACAAAACAAATAGATGGCATACGAAATAAAGAATATACAAAAGAACGCAGTTGTTTTCTGATGCATGATTAGAAAACATATTCCGCTAACAATGTGAGATGACAATATGAATATTTCATTTATATTTTTTTATTACGTGTTCGTATCGTTATCTACTGTGTAGTTGTCGATCACAAACGTTGATACTGCTTAATTTCGTTTATCCGACATACTCGTTAATCCGACATAATCAAATGCAACCAACAATGTCGGATTAACGGGACTTGACTTTATTATACTTAAGTGTAAAAGACTGAGCTTTCCGAAGTTGAGAATAGTTTTATTTTCATTGCAGTGAAGTTGAGTGAACATAACAATTGATATTTCGCTGCAGTGAACATAACACTTGATGTTTCACTGTTGTGAACATAACACTTTCACGGACCTATGTCATACAAGAGTGACCTCCCCTCGAATTGTCTCCCTTTATCGTGAGTGTCAGGCCGTTCACAAACTGTTGACTTCCATTTTACGTTAGATCCACATTGACAAGGCAAAATAAGGACAGGTGGTCATTTATGGAGTTAATATCGCTTCATGGCGTTTGTGTCAATTGAAAATGTTCCGTTATAAACTGTAAATTTACTCAATTTCTCACTCAACTCGTCAATCGAGACAGTTCGTTTCACAAAGCGCCATTTTTGTAACTTGACCAGCGTGTGTCTTTCGCTTCCAACAGCGGTCTCAAAGTTTTCAAGAATATTTTTTGTAAAAGTTGATTTTGTATTTAATCATATTTATGTGTTTTGTTACTATTGTTTATATTTGTTATGATTATGCAAACACGAAACTACTTTTTTAGTCGCAAGTACAAGGGGTAGTGGGTAGTGTTTCAAGGTTTTACATTAGTTATGAAATAATTTAATTTCCCGGTAGACAACTACATAAAAAGTATATAATAAATAGGATATTCCATGTGTCTCGTGAAATATCAGGTCTCTCTCTCTCTCTCTCTCTCTCTCTCTCTCTCTCTCTCTCTCTCTCTCTCTCTCTCTCTCTCTCTCTCTATCATTCAACTTCATTCTTCCAACGTGGAACGGGATCTGCACCATAAAAGTTTGCAATCACGTCACAATACTCAATGACGTGATTTGAGGAATTTTGTTGCAAGATCCACCGGCGAAACAATGCCATGTGACGTCAGCCTAGCAACGGGGTTGCTGGGTCATTGAGTGTACATAAGCTCCTCTCGGTGATCTATCATCTCCTCACGCAATGTCCCGTGGGAGCCAGTTTTGGATGATAAAAAATACAACAATATTTTATATAAGAATGCATTCACACATTCTTTAGAAGTTCTCAGATGGTGGCCTGTTTTAAGATATAGTCGTCTTTTTGAGTGAGTGAGATGTTTTACAGTTGTTCTTGTGATTATCGAGAAAACTACGATTGTTTCTGAAGCGTCCGAAAACCCATAACACGGGGATATATACATATCCATTATATTTAGTGCCATGTATAAAACTGAGACATTAATTGTCTTGTTAAATTAATCATGACATAAATTGCTAATCATTATGAGTACCAGACTGATCTATGCCATAAACAGTTTAGCTGGCAAAGATCAAAATTGATTACTTGATTACTATACATTTTTATTTGCCACAGCCTAGAGTCAGCATTGTAAATGGATTAAATGGAAAATGTTTAAATACAGCCTGTATGCGTTATTCAAATTAAATTTCTAAAAATCTCAAACAGATCTGTTGAAAATATCAAATGAATAATTGGCATAGTATATTGGAGTAACCTCCCTTTGACAAAATGGCAACACTTTGTCAACTTTTCCGTGCTATAAGACTGCTGCAGGCGGGGAGACAGACGCACTGTCAGTGCTTCTACAGTAGTGCATCGGATTCATGGCAGGCTGTTCCCGTCCAGGAAGTCCAGCGATTTATAGAAGAGTGCATGGCAACTGTTGGAACCCGCGCGGACCATGCCACCTCTCTGGCGAACAACTTGGTCACAGCTGATCACAGAGGACACTATAGCCACGGCCTCAACAGACTAGGTGCGTCTTCCGCTGATGGGACCACACCAGGTTGTATAAGGCTGTCGCGGAACAGACGTCCATGGATAAATATGCTTCCACAGATTTTAAAAATTAGAAGTATATTGGAACAGAAATAAGTATTGTATTAGCCGTAAAATGTACAATAATTGTATAAAATAATTCAATTTTTTTAGGCCATTTAATTTTGGTATGAAAGTATTAATTAATCAAATAACTTTTTTATCTTTCTCAGTGCATCATTTTTACATTTGTAAAACGGGAATATCACAAAATTTGGTGCTTAATTCTCATATATATATAGAGAATCTCACCCTCGTGTCTTTTCATATAAAATATATCAACACGAGTTGATAAAAATGGAAAAACTCTGAGGCTTGCCGAGGACTTTTCCACTTTTATCAACAAGTGTTGATATATTTTATATAAAAAGACACGAGGGTGAGATTTTATTTATCATCCAACATCATTTTTCCAACTTGTTCATTTTGTAGACAGTAATAAGCAGTGTCTTAAAGGGCAAGTTCACACGGAAATGAACCTATTTTTCTTGTACTTTTTCCACATTAAAAGTGTTAACATAGAAGTGTCATAGACAAAAATATAAAAATATCACAATTAATTAACATATTTTTCGCATTAAAACTATTTTTTTTTTCACATTTACCAAGTGTTCTATTTCCACAACAAAAACACCATGGCTTATGCCCCTTGCAATATGACGTCATTGGTGCCAATTGATAAACATTATGACGTCATCATGCTTTGTTAGAGCCGCTTCACGTGGTGTAGGTCCAGGTGTGTGATTCTAGCGTCTCAGATGCCAGCCAGCATAGTGTTATGCTGAGTCACCACTGCGCCGGAGTGTGTCGTAGGCCATGTTGTTTTACCGCAAACTGGTACTTGATATCTTTTGCGTTGAGAATAGACAGGGACCCAGTTGAATTGGCACCAATTACGTCATAATCTAAGGGGGATAACTCAGGCCTGTTTAGCTCGAAAAACGAAGGCCTCATAACGACATATCATTTTCACACTATTGTGAGCTTCCTACGTTCACTGTGATAAAAATGAGTGTATATTTTCAAACACAGATACTAATTAATTCTAAAATTGCGTTTTGTTTAGAAAAAGAAAGAAAGTGATTTTTGCGTGTACACTTCCCCTTTAAGTATAAAAAGCTCTGCTAACAGCTTCAGTAGCAGAGCCATTAGTGATGTCATTTGATTGTGATGTCATGGTAACCAATGACATCACAATGGTCTGCAAAGCATTGTGATGCAAATTTCATTCCAGCGATATCTACAATGTAGATATCGCTTGATCTCACCCAAGCGATATCTAGTTGGAGCCAGTTTTGGATGATAAATGATAGTTACGATACAGAAATGAACAAGGGTAAAAATCCTTTTCACACGTGGTATTACATGATTAGGTCAGTCCAGAAGAAGAATAGATATTCTTATAAAGCCAAAAGGAATTACTTTTTGTGTTTGAAAATATGCTAAGAGACTGGTCATTTATTATGGGGTTGGGATGGGTTGGGTGACAGAGCGAATTGGGAGGGTCACGAAACAATATGACTTATTCGGGGAGGGTCATGATAAAATGGACATTTTTAAATGACCGGTCCCTTAATTAGTTGCAATATCTGTGTGTACTACTTTTTACCTTAAAAAAACCCTGACAATATGTATTTCTGCCTTCATTGTCTTGGTATGTTTGCAAGGAATATCAGTAAAACATGATTGACACTATAGTTTCATTTGGCTTGTTTTGTCCTTTCTGCTACAGATTTGTACATCAATGACATAGAGTCAGGGATCACCGTTAGCGACGCCGAGCCCAGCATTATCCGGGAGTCGGCAGCCACAGCCCACGTCGACGGCAACAACGTCCTTGGTCCGGTGGTGGGCAACTTCAGCATGGAACTGGCCATACAGAAAGCCAAGGTTGCAGGGGTAGGCTGGGTGGCTGCAAAAGGTACCGGTACCTCGTATATCCCCGAAAACGTATGATGTTTGAAAACCTATGATCTGAAAATACTGTAGGCAGCAAATAAATGGATCACTTGTTCACTGAGTTCTCAGTTTTATCCGAAACGCTTACGGATGAGTAAAACTTACAAAAAATAAAGGCCCAATATAAATAAATTATTAGATTTTCACCCAAATGTTTTTAAAAAATTGAGGCGGGTGGCATTGTATTTTAGTAGTTATTTTTTTAAACAAGCAGTTCATGGCATCTGTGTATGTCAACTGTGAATGTATGTGATTCACATGAAGCATGAATGTTAGGTCGGATGATGTATAGTCAGTGGTATTCCAAAACATGTGCCCTTGGTAGGCAGATTGGAAAAAGGAAATACCTATTTTGTACAAAATTGGGATTTAAAAAAAATTAATATGAAAAAATATTCAGTATCTTCTCTTTAATGGTCTTGTTATCAGTGAAATACATTCAAATCTGTAGAACCATATATTGGTAATAACTATATTAACAGGAGTAAGGAATTATTTTCCAATTTTGGAATTTTAACTGACATTTGCGGCAAACTAGGGTCTCATATCCACCTAGTGTAGCAGGTGTAGATAAGTCCCTGATCGCGTATTTCATCAGGTAATGAAAGAAGGGGAAACATTTAAGGATTTCTGTCCACGTTACTTGGGTCAATAGCTAGATGATAAGCCATGGGGTGTTTGGTAGTTAAGGGGTGGGGAATGTGAAAATGTGATAATATAATCATTTTGGCATAAACTGTGACTTGTAAATGTAAGTACATTTCTGCTACCTGTTTCAGGGTCCAACCATTTTGGTATTGCGGGCTGGTATTCCATGCTGGCATCTCAACAGGGCCTCCTTGTGAGTTGAAAACAAACAAGTTTCAGTATCGTGAGTGAATAGGCTTTGATTTCAGTGAAGAAAATGTCCTTCACTGCACGGATACATTGGTCAAAGGTTCAAATCCCAGATTTGACATGATCATTGGTTTGTCAGCACCAATATACATACTGTTCTAAGTGGTGTCAGCTCACAAGATACATAAGGGGTTGTTACACAAGATACATAAGGGGTTGTTACACAGGATACATAAGGGGTTGTTACACAAGATACATAAGGGGTTGTTACACAAGATACGTAAGGGTTGTTAAACAAGATACGTAAGGGGTTGTTACACAAGATACATAAGGGGTTGTTACACAAGATACATAAGGGGTTGTTACACAGGATACATAAGGGGTTGTTACACAAGATACATAAGGGGTTGTTCCACAAGATACATAAGGGGTTGTTACACAAGATACATAAGGGGTTGTTACACAAGATACATAAGGGGTTGTTACACAAGACACATAAGGGGTTGTTACACAAGATACATAAGGGGTTGTTACACAAGATACATAAGGGGTTGTTACACAAGATATGTAAGGGGTTGTTCCACAAGATACATAAGGGGTTGTTACACAAGATACATAAGGGGTTGTTACACAAGACACATAAGGGGTTGTTACACAAGATACATAAGGGGTTGTTACACAAGATACGTAAGGGGTTGTTACACAAGATACATAAGGGGTTGTTACACAAGATACGTAAGGGTTGTTACACAAGATACATAAGGGTTTGTTACACAAGATACGTAAGGGTTGTTACAAAAGATACATAAGGGGTTGTTACACAAGATACATAAGGGGTTGTTACACAAGATACATAAGGGGTTGTTACACAAGATATGTAAGGGGTTGTTACACAAGATACATAAGGGGTTGTTACACAAGATACATAAGGGGTTGTTACAAAAGATACATAAGGGGTTGTTACACAAGATACATAAGGGGTTGTTACACAGGATACATAAGGGGTTGTTACACAAGATACATAAGGGGTTGTTACACAGGATACATAAGGGGTTGTTACACAAGATACGTAAGGGTTGTTACAAAAGATACCTAAGGGGTTGTTACACAAGATACATAAGGGGTTGTTACACAAGATACATAAGGGGTTGTTACACAAGATACATAAGGGGTTGTTACACAAGATACATAAGGGGTTGTTACACAAGATACATAAGGGGTTGTTACACAAGATACATAAGGGTTGTTACACAAGATACATAAGGGGTTGTTACACAAGATACATAAGGGGTTGTTACACAAGATACATAAGGGGTTGTTACACAAGATATGTAAGGGGTTGTTACACAAGATACATGAGGGGTTGTTACACAAGATACATAAGGGGTTGTTACACAAGATACATAAGGGGTTGTTACACAAGATACGTAAGGGGTTGTTACACAAGATACGTAAGGGGTTGTTACACAAGATACATAAGGGGTTGTTACACAAGATACATAAAGGAATGAGTGAGTGAGTTAGGTTTAACACCGCTTTAAACAGTATTCCAGTAAGATAACGGTGTGTCAGCTTATTGTTAGAGGAAAGCTCGAAGTGATGCTGGTTTCAGCAATACCACTCCGCAGTATTCCATCTCTATGATGGCTTTGTAAATAATCGAGTCTGCACCAGACAATCCAGTGATTGACATCATGAGTATTGATCTACACAATTGGGGTACGATGACATGCATCAACCAAGTCAGTGAGCCAGACCACCTTATCCTGTTAGTTGCCTCTTGCCGCAAACATGGGTTGCTGAAGATCTATTCTAACCCAGATCTTCACAGGTCTCATGCGCATCGTACCAAAAGATGTTAAGATATGTACTACTTATTGTTACCCTGCCAGGTGCTCGGCATTAAGGGGATAAAACAGGAGTTAGTCGGCCTGGAGTATACTGTGTCTCAGGTGGGTATTCAAGTTAAACAGTGGCATGGTATTGTATCTCAGCAGGCTAGCACTATAAAACCAGAGGAAGTTCAGACTACACACACACACACATGCATGCATGTTGCAATATACCGTATTCAACGTAATAAGCTCTTAAAAGTGCCCACTAGTGAAGAATCCCAATTGCACCCCTTCCGATTGATCATTGTACACAAGACGTATTTATTCGTGTGTTATATGCTCCCTTAATTATTGGCAATTAATTTCTGGAAAATTATATCTGTCATATATAAACTTTTCAGGCTGTCAGCATAAACCACAAAATTTACGATATTTCAACTATACGATATTTTGTTCACCAAAATAATATTTTAATAAGAGCCCCCTATTTCTAATTTTGAGAGCGCCCTGGGCGCTTATTACGTCGAATACGGTAAGTGCAATAATCTTGAATGTGATGTTGAATGTCACCTAACCTCAACTCAACTCACCAGCAAGCTATCTTGTGTAATAGTGTGAGTGAGTAATTATCTCTTTCAGCTTGTAAAAGTAGCGGGGGTAGAATAGGTCTTCAGCAACCCATTCTTGCCGTAAAAGGCGACTATGCTTGTCGTAAGAGGCGACTAACGGAATCGGGTGGTCAGGCTCGCTGACTTAGTTGATGCATATCATCAATCCCAATTGCGTGGATCGATGCTCATGACATCAATCACTGGATTGTCTGGTCCAGACTTGATTACTTACAGACCGCCGTCATATAGCTTGAATATTGCTGAGCGCGGCATTAAACAACAAACAAACACACAAACAAAAACGAACATGTATTGGTAGCTGAGTTATGTTGAAGCATGTGTAACTCAGATGTTGTCTAGGTAAGGACTGCTTCTCAAACTAGTTGCTCTTAGAGATGTGCAAGTCGTGTTATATACCGGCTAATGGTCCAAACCATATGTTACTGTTTAAGTTACCGTGTTTTCTTGAGTATGGTGCACACGCAAGTATGCGCACCCCACTCTAGCGAATTCAGTATTTTTGAGAAAAAAAAATTATAAATATTTTGTGCAGAAAAAAATTACAACGCACCCCTTCAGCGAACTCCGGTAAACGGGTCATAAGAAACTTGGTCAGTACAAATTTGAAATTTGAGATACAAAATCACCAGACATGTTGATTTTCAGTTTACATTATATTTTTTTGTTCTGCTTGGCATTATTTTACATCCAGGGATTAAGATAATTTCTCCTAAACTAAGCCGGAAACAGCAATCAGCTGTACACAGGTTTTCTTGGAATCTACCGGTGATTCGGTTAAAACTTACCCAATGATATAAGTTTAAAGGATTTTAATTCAAGGATCGGGAAAAAAGGTATCTGGAACTATTTTTTTATCAGAAATATTATATTCCAATATCATGTTATTTTTTCTGCAGCTTTAATTAAATATATTTAGAATAACAAGCATAGCACTTCGGTGCAGCTGATTGCGACTGTTGATTATATTTATCGCATGGAACAATTTAACCAGTAGCCGTTGAGGCTCCCGCGCACGTGATCGTGAGAACTATATGTTGATTTAGTACAATCCCAAATCTGGCATCACGCCAAATCACAGCCTCACTCAGTGCCCAGCAATGTCTAAGGTGAGGTGAGGTGAGGTGAAATTGGGTTTAACATCGCGTCCAAGATTATTGCACCTATATAGCGATGTGCATGCACGTGTGTGTGTGTGTGGCTGCTTGTACTAGTCCGGACTGATGACAATTTATAGTGCTAGCCCACTGAGATACCATGCCACAGTTTAACATGAATACCCCACTCGACACAGTATACTGACTCCGAGCCGACCAGTCCTTGTTTTAGCCTTAAGGCCGAGCGCCAGACAGGGTAACAACAAGTACCATCTTTCAACGTCTTTTGGTATGACGCGAAAGGGGATCGAACCCCGTATCTTCTGCTCTCCGGGCGGACGCTCTACCACTAGACCATGGAGGCGGTCCAATGTCTAAAAGCCAAGACTATATAGGCAATACACACAAGCACCAAACCTACTCTATATATACTGTACTATACCATTTCAATCAATCATGACTGACTCACGCAACAGTACCGAGGAGTGAGTTCAGTTAAAAGCTAGTTTGAACAGTATTCCGTTTATATCACGGCATGTCAATGTATTGTGGGAGGAAAGCCCAAAGTGATGCAGGTCTCACTCATTTTGTGGTGAAACTCACAAGCACGATCATAGGTTTCTGGCGTGGCCAAGGGACACAACCCTGTGCAGCGAAATGAGGCGCCTTAGGCACCCGTGCCCCCTCCATTGTTTGTAGTATTGCTTCCGTACAGTGAAGGACAATCCTGGCTCACTTTCACACCAACTTCAAAAGAAGTCCTCTAAGTTTGCAAGTGAATGTCTTTTATCCAGTCGTATATGAAATTGTATGTAAAAATGTGTGAATACTGTTAGATTTAATGTTGTGACTAATCGTTGTTTGTAATACTGTATGTAATGATGTGTTACAAAGTGTTGTTGTTGTTGTTCATGGTAATATAACGTAGTAAGATTGTTGTTTGTTGCAGGGAATGGCGTTCACCAACACCTCCCCGCTGTCAGTACCTACGAGAGCCAAGAAGGTAGAGTGGAGACTGGAAAAATAAACCCAGGCTTGCAGTGATTGTCAATACTTTGTGAGGTTTATGTACACATTGTTCCTCGATCACCACATCTTGGATGTTTAGTACAAAGAACTGACGATATCTTTAGTATGAAGTACAGACGATACAAGTTCTAGTTATTGTCACCCTAGAGAACCAGCTATAACTCCCTCAGGGGTACAATGTATTCCCAACACCCTCCTGACGTCCCTTATATCTCCCTGCAGGCTACGCTGGGCACAAACCCTCTATCTCTGGCAGCTCCAGCTCGCAGTGGTGACGAGTTTGTACTGGATATGGCCACCACGACAGTAGCACTGGGCAAGGTATGGAACCTCGAATCATATTGTGTCTCTGTTATTCTCTGATCATACAGAAAAATTCAGTAATTTCAGCTTCAAGTGTTTATATACTTCTTGTGTCAGCATGACATTTTACACTCTGCAGTGATAATGGTATAGATTTCCACCTAGGAGAATCATGATAATGAATATGGATCACGTAGTTGTTTGTGTCATCCGCCATAAGGTTTTCATAAGACATATATATATAATGACAAGCACTGTCACTAGAGTAAGTTCTTCAGCAACCCATGCTTGCCATAAAAGTTGACAATATTTGTTGTAAGAGGCGACTAACGGGGTCGGGTGGTCAGGCTCGCTGACTTGGTTAATGCATGTCATCGTATCCCAATTGATTGATGCTTATGATATCAGTCACTGGATTGTCTGGTCCCGACTTTTATTTACAGACCGCCATCATATAGCTTGAATGTTGTTTAGTGTGGCATTAAACAAGAAACAAACAAACTAGAATAAGTTGACATGCAGTGGTTGTTATTGTTCATAGTTATGACCTGTGACTCACAGTAAGATCAAACACCCTGTGATACACTCATGTTGGTTTCACAATACTGAATGTGGTATCGACCTTTTCGTACATCGCTTCTTGAGTGCCAATCATCCTATGTGGCAATATTCATTGTGCAGATTGTGTGTCACTGTGCCCCACAGGGTGAATCAGTGCTCTTGTTATCAGCCACTGGTTTATCTGTCTCAGACAATTATTTACAGGCTGCCATGATTTGGCAGGAATAATGATAAGCAACATTGCCTCAGTTGCTCACTCATGACATGCTCCTCTCCTCAGATCGAACTCCACGACCGCAAAGGCATCAAGATCCCCAACAGCTGGGGTGTGGACAAGCATGGTCGGGTAAGTCACCTCCCAACACACGGTGAGTCACCACATTACAGCCTCACCTGTCACGCAGGGTGAGTCAATACCCTACCGTACCCGTGAAGATCTGGGGTAGAAAAGGTCTTCAGCAACCCATGCTTGCCGTAAAAGGCGACTAAGCTTGTCGTAAGAGGCGACAAACGGGATCAGGTGGTCAGGCTCACTGACTTGTTTGATGCATGTCATCGACCTCAATTATGTAGAATCACTGAATTGTCTGGTCACGACTTGATTATTTACAGACCGCCATCATATTGCTGGAATATTGCTGATGTGGCGTTAAATAACAAAGCTATGCCCTACAGCCTCACCCGTCACACAGGGTCAAATAGAAATAAAACTCAAAACTGTTGACAAGATAATAGTATGCATAATAAGACATCTTGAGGAATTTGGGGATACACCCCAATGCCCTGCACAATAACATGTGACTTGTTGACGCCCACACCTGACAGTATGTGATGTCTGCCCCCACTACACCCAACCCTTGTGTGTTGCAGGAGTCCAATGACCCGAAGACTGTGATAGAGGGTGGAGGCCTCATGATGGTTGGGGGATCAGAGCTCACAGGTACAACTTGTGAAGTACATTTTCCCGATGCAAGGGAGTTAACTGACTATAAAAGTCCAGTTTCCACCCTTGCCGATCTAGCCTGGTATTATTGAGTTACATTTTGGCTGGACTAACAAGTCTATGCATAGTCCAATCAGACAAAATCCTGTTCGTAAACTGAGTTTGGTCAATTGCAGGATTTGACAATCATATCGTGATTATCACAGATAGGTTGGCAGGCATATTGTGATTATCACAGACAGGTTGACAGTCATATTGTGATTATCACAGACAGGTTGACAGTCATATTGTGATTATCACAGACAGGTTGACAGTCATATCTTGATTATCACAGATTGGTTGGCAGTCATATCTTGATTATCACAGATAGGTGGACAGTCATATCATGATTATGACAGATGGGTTGACAGTCATATTGTGATTATCACAGATTGGTTGGCAGTCATATCTTGATTATCACAGATAGGTGGACAGTCATATTGTGATAATCACAGACAGGTTGACAGTCATATTGTGATTATCACAGACAGGTTGACAGTCATATTGTGATTATCACAGATTGGTTGGCAGTCATATCTTGATTATCACAGATAGGTGGACAGTCATATCATGATTATGACAGATGGGTTGACATTCATATTGTGATTATCACAGATTGGTTGACAGTCATATTGTGATTATCAAAGACAGGTTGACAGTCATATCATGATTATGACAGATGGGTTGACAGTCATATTGTGATTATCACAGACAGGTTGACAGTCATATTGTGATTATCACAGATTGGTTGGCAGTCATATCATGATTATGACAGATAGGTGGACAGTCATATCATGATTATGACAGATGGGTTGACAGTCATATTGTGATTATCACAGATTGGTTAGCAGTCATATCTTGATTATCACAGATAGGTGGACAGTTATATCATGATTATGACAGATGGGTTGACAGTCATATTGTGATTATCACAGATTGGTTAGCAGTCATATCTTGATTATCACAGATAGGTGGACAGTTATATCATGATTATGACAGATGGGTTGACAGTCATATTGTGATTATCAAAGACAGGTTGACAGTCATATCATGATTATGACAGATGAGGTGACAGTCATATTGTGATTATCACAGATTGGTTGGCAGTCATATCTTGATTATCACAGATAGGTGGACAGTCATATCATGATTATGACAGATGGGTTGACAGTCATATTGTGATTATCAAAGACAGGTTGACAGTCATATCATGATTATGACAGATGAGGTGACAGTCATATTGTGATTATCACAGATTGGTTGGCAGTCATATCTTGATTATCACAGATAGGTGGACAGTCATATCATGATTATGACAGATGGGTTGACAGTCATATTGTGATTATCACAGATTGGTTGGCAGTCATATCTTGATTATCACAGATAGGTGGACAGTTATATCATGATTATGACAGATGGGTTGACAGTCATATTGTGATTATCAAAGACAGGTTGACAGTCATATCTTGATTATCACAGATAGGTGGACAGTTATATCATGATTATGACAGATGGGTTGACAGTCATATTGTGATTATCAAAGACAGGTTGACAGTCATATCATGATTATCACAGATAAAACGTTAAAGTGTTCTGTGGGTGGGTACAAGGGTTAAAGTGTTCTGTAGGTTGGTACAAGGGTTACAGTGTTCTGTGGGTGGGTACAAGGGTTACAGTGTTCTGTAGGTGGGTACAAGGGTTACAGTGTTCAGTAGGTGTGTACAAGGGTTACAGTGTTCTGTAGGTGGGTACAAGGGTTACAGTGTGTTCTGTATGTGGGTACAAGGGTTACAGTGTTCTGTAGGTGGGTACAGGGTTACAGTGTGTTCTGTATGTGGGTACAAGGGTTACAATGTTCTGTATGTGGGTACAAGGGTTACAGTGTTCTGTAGGTGGTTACAGGGTTACAGTGTTCTGTAGGTGGGTACAAGGGTTACAGTGTTCTGTAGGTGGGTACAGGGTTACAGTGTTCTGTATGTGGGTACAAGGGTTACAGTGTTCTGTAGGTGGGTACAAGGGTTACAGTGTGTTCTGTAGGTGGGTACAAGGGTTACAGTGTTCTGTAGGTGGGTACAAGGGTTACAGTGTTCTGTAGGTGGGTACAGTGTTACAGTGTGTTCTGTATATGGGTACAGTGTTACAGTGTGTTCTGTATGTGGGTACAAGGGTTACAGTGTGTTCTGTATGTGGGTACAAGGGTTACAGTGTGTTCTGTATGTGGGTACAAGGGTTACAGTGTTCTGTAGGTGGGTACAAGGGTTACAGTGTTCTGTAGGTGGTTACAGGGTTACAGTGTTCTGTAGGTGGGTACAAGGGTTACAGTGTTCTGTAGGTGGGTACAAGGGTTATAGTGTTCTGTAGGTGGGTACAAGGGTTACAGTGTTCAGTAGGTGGTTACAGGGTTACAGTGTTCTGTAGGTGGGTACAAGGGTTATAGTGTTCTGTAGGTGGGTACAAGGGTTACAGTGTTCAGTAGGTGTGTACAAGGGTTACAGTGTTCTGTAGGTGGGTACAAGGGTTACAGTGTTCTGTAGGTGGGTACAGTGTTACAGTGTGTTCTGTATATGGGTACAGTGTTACAGTGTGTTCTGTATGTGGGTACAAGGGTTACAATGTGTTCTGTATGTGGGTACAAGGGTTACAGTGTGTTCTGTATGTGGGTACAAGGGTTACAGTGTTCTGTAGGTGGGTACAAGGGTTACAGTGTTCTGTAGGTGGTTACAGGGTTACAGTGTTCTGTATGTGGGTACAGGGGTTACAGTGTTCTGTAGGTGGGTACAAGGGTTACAGTGTTCTGTAGGTGGGTACAAGGGTTACAGTGTTCTGTAGGTGGGGACAAGGGTTACAGTGTTCTGTGGGTGGGTACAAGGGTTACAGTGTGTTCTGTAGGTGGGTACAAGGGTTACAGTGTTCTGTAGGTGGGTACAAGGGTTACAGTGTTCTGTAGGTGGGTACAAGGGTTACAGTGTGTTCTGTATGTGGGTACAAGGGTTACAGTGTTCTGTAGGTGGGTACAGGATAACAGTGTGTTCTGTATGTGGGTACAGGGTTACAGTGTTCTGTAGGTGGGTACAGGGTTACAGTGTTCTGTAGGTGGGTACAGGGTTACAGTGTTCTGTAGGTGGGTACAAGGGTTACAGTGTTCTGTAGGTGGGTACAAGGGTTACAGTGTGTTCTGTAGGTGGGTACAAGGGTTACAGTGTTCTGTATGTGGGTACAGGGTAACAGTGTGTTCTGTAGGTGGGTACAGGGTTACAGTGTTCTGTAGGTGGGTACAGGGTTACAGTGTTCTGTATGTGGGTACAGGGTTACAGTGTTCTGTAGGTGGGTACAGGGTTACAGTGTTCTGTAGGTGGGTACAAGGGTTACAGTGTTCCGTAGGTGGGTACAGGGTTACAGTGTTCTGTAGGTGGGTACAAGGGTTACAGTGTGTTCTGTATGTGGGTACAAGGGTTACAGTGTTCTGTAGGTGGGTACAAGGGTTACAGTGTTCTGTAGGTTGGTACAAGGGTTACAGTGTTCTGTAGGTGGGTACAGGGTTACAGTGTTCTGTATGTGGGTACAAGGGTTACAGTGTGTTCTGTATGTGGGTACAAGGGTTACAGTGTTCTGTAGGTGGGTACAGGGTTACAGTGTTCTGTATGTGGATACAGGGTTACAGTGTTCTGTAGGTGGGTACAAGGGTTACAGTGTGTTCTGTATGTGGGTACAAGGGTTACAGTGTTCTGTAGGTGGGTACAAGGGTTACAGTGTGTTCTGTAGGTGGGTACAGGGGTTACAGTGTTCTGTAGGTGTGTACAAGGGTTACAGTGTTCTGTAGGTGGGTACAGGGTTACAGTGTTCTGTAGGTGGGTACAAGGGTTACAGTATGTTCTGTATGTGGGTACAAGGGTTACAGTGTTCTGTAGGTGGGTACAAGGGTTACAGTGTGTTCTGTAGGTTGGTACAGGGGTTACAGTGTTCTGTAGGTGGGTACAAGGGTTACAGTGTGTTCTGTATGTGGGTACAAGGGTTACAGTGTTCTGTAGGTGGGTACAGGGTTACAGTGTTCTGTATGTGGATACAGGGTTACAGTGTTCTGTAGGTGGGTACAAGGGTTACAGTGTGTTCTGTATGTGGGTACAAGGGTTACAGTGTTCTGTAGGTGGGTACAAGGGTTACAGTGTGTTCTGTAGGTGGGTACAGGGGTTACAGTGTTCTGTAGGTGTGTACAAGGGTTACAGTGTTCTGTAGGTGGGTACAGGGTTACAGTGTTCTGTAGGTGGGTACAAGGGTTACAGTATGTTCTGTATGTGGGTACAAGGGTTACAGTGTTCTGTAGGTGGGTACAAGGGTTACAGTGTGTTCTGTAGGTGGGTACAGGGGTTACAGTGTTCTGTAGGTGGGTACAAGGGTTACAGTGTTCTGTAGGTGGGTACAGGGTTACAGTGTTCTGTATGTGGGAACAAGGGTTACAGTGTGTTCTGTATGTGGGTACAAGGGTTACAGTGTTCTGTAGGTGGGTACAAGGGTTACAGTGTGTTCTGTATGTGGGTACAAGGGATACAGTGTTCTGTAGGTGGGTACAAGGGTTACTGTGTTCTGTAGGTGGGTACAAGGGTTACGGTGTTCTGTATGTGGGTACAGGGTTACAGTGTGTTCTGTTTGTGGGTACAAGGGTTACAGTGTGTTCTGTAGGTGGGTACAAGGGTTACAGTGTGTTCTGTAGGTGGGTACAGGGTTACAGTGTGTTCTGTATGAGGATACAAGGGTTACAGTGTGTTCTGTAGGTGGGTACAAGGGTTACAGTGTGTTCTGTAGGTGGGTACAGGGTTACAGTGTGTTCTGTAGGTGGGTACAAGGGTTACAGTGTGTTCTGTAGGTGGGTACAGAGTTACAGTGTTCTGTACATGGGTACAAGGATTATAGTGTGTTCTGAAGGTGCATACAAGGGTTATAGTGTTTTATGTGTTCTGTAGGTGGGTACAAGGGCTACGGTCTGTCCATGCTGGTGGAGGTTTATAGTGTGTTCTGTGTTTTTTTGGTGGGTACAAGGGTTACAGTGTGTTCTGTAGGTGCATTCAAGGGTTATAGTGTGTTCTGTGTTTTTTAGGTGGGTACAAGGGTTACAGTGTTCTGTAGGTTGGTGCAAGGGCTACGGTCTGTCCATGCTGGTGGAGGTTTATAGTGTGTTCTGTGTTCTGTAGGTGCATACAAGGTTTATAGTGTGTTCTGTGTTCTGTAGGTGCATACAAGGTTTATAGTGTGTTCTGTGTTCTGTAGGTGCATACAAGGGTTATAGTGTGTTCTGTGTTCTGTAGGTGCATACAAGGTTTATAGTGTGTTCTGTGTTCTGTAGGTGCATACAAGGGTTATAGTGTGTTCTGTGTTCTGTAGGTGCATACAAGGTTTATAGTGTGTTCTGTGTTCTGTAGGTGCATACAAGGTTTATAGTGTGTTCTGTGTTCTGTAGGTGCATACAAGGGTTATAGTGTGTTCTGTGTTCTGTAGGTGCATACAAGGGTTATAGTGTGTTCTGTGTTCTGTAGGTGCATACAAGGTTTATAGTGTGTTCTGTGTTCTGTAGGTGCATACAAGGGTTATAGTGTGTTCTGTGTTCTGTAGGTGCATACAAGGGTTATAGTGTGTTCTGTGTTCTGTAGGTGCATACAAGGGTTATAGTGTGTTCTGTAGGTGCATACAAGGTTTATAGTGTGTTCTGTGTTCTGTAGGTGCATACAAGGGTTATAGTGTGTTCTGTAGGTGCATACAAGGGTTATAGTGTGTTCTGTAGGTGCATACAAGGTTTATAGTGTGTTCTGTGTTCTGTAGGTGCATACAAGGGTTATAGTGTGTTCTGTGTTCTGTAGGTGCATACAAGGGTTATAGTGTGTTCTGTGTTCTGTAGGTGCATACAAGGTTTATAGTGTGTTCTGTGTTCTGTAGGTGCATACAAGGGTTATAGTGTGTTCTGTGTTCTGTAGGTGCATACAAGGTTTATAGTGTGTTCTGTGTTCTGTAGGTGCATACAAGGGTTATAGTGTGTTCTGTGTTCTGTAGGTGCATACAAGGGTTATAGTGTGTTCTGTGTTCTGTAGGTGCATACAAGGGTTATAGTGTGTTCTGTGTTCTGTAGGTGCATACAAGGGTTATAGTGTGTTCTGTGTTCTGTAGGTGCATACAAGGTTTATAGTGTGTTCTGTGTTCTGTAGGTGCATACAAGGTTTATAGTGTGTTCTGTGTTCTGTAGGTGCATACAAGGTTTATAGTGTGTTCTGTGTTCTGTAGGTGCATACAAGGGTTATAGTGTGTTCTGTGTTCTGTAGGTGCATACAAGGGTTATAGTGTGTTCTGTGTTCTGTAGGTGCATACAAGGGTTATAGTGTGTTCTGTGTTCTGTAGGTGCATACAAGGGTTATAGTGTGTTCTGTGTTCTGAAGGTGCATACAAGGGTTATAGTGTGTTCTGTGTTCTGAAGGTGCATACAAGGGTTATAGTGTGTTCTGTGTTCTGTAGGTGCATACAAGGGTTCTAGTGTGTTCTGTGTTCTGTAGGTGCATACAAGGGTTATAGTGTGTTCTGTGTTCTGTAGGTGCATACAAGGGTTCTAGTGTGTTCTGTGTTCTGTAGGTGCATACAAGGGTTATAGTGTGTTCTGTGTTCTGTAGGTGGGTACAAGGGCTACGGTCTGTCTATGCTGGTGGAGGTTTATAGTGTGTTCTGTGTTCTGTAGGTGCATACAAGGGTTATAGTGTGTTCTGTGTTCTGTAGGTGCATACAAGGGTTATAGTGTGTTCTGTGTTCTGTAGGTGGGTACAAGGGCTACGGTCTGTCTATGCTGGTGGAGGTTTATAGTGTGTTCTGTGTTCTGTAGGTGCATACAAGGGTTATAGTGTGTTCTGTGTTCTGTAGGTGCATACAAGGGTTATAGTGTGTT